CTCCAGCCACTTGATGAAAGAGGGACAGGAGGATAGGCCTTGCAGCAAAGAGTTCATGAAACAGGTGTTTCCCAAGTTAAGAAGGCCAGGTACAAGCCCTACGAATAGAAGTGTAAAGGTTTGCAGCATGAAGTCTAGGAAAACCTCACTATTTTTCAGTAGCAGGTGTTGTGTTAGGTATTAAAATTAATTTTTTTCCCTTTATTTCGTACTTGCACCCAGTGAAAACGAGGAGACCCTGGTATGCGCGACAGCATACTGCGAAGTGCTTATGTACGTGGTGCTCTCCGAGACTTACACCGCTGTGAAAATCTTCTTCCAATTTCTTTGAAAAATACTCCCTTTTCCTGATGGGAATAGACCTCTATCAGCAACGCTACGGCTCAGGGTTATCTGCAAGTTACCGTACAAACCGTAAAATTCTCGCTTCCACGCACAGCGTAGGCGCCCCGCGCTGTGCAAGTGTACGGGAGCCCGTGAGGTCACCGCTGCGCCGTTGCGCGCCTGGGCGTGGTTTGGTGACGCCTGTCCCTTTTGCTCAGATCGGGGCACTGGTACCAAAACTGCCGGGTTGCCAAGGATTAACAAGAAGGATTTCTGTACAACGCTGCTTAGCGGGAGGCTTTAACTTCTCTTGTACTCACGTTCAGTAAGAACACGTGTGTTTTGCATTCCAAAATGCGAAATAAAATACAGTGTGTTATCTGCAGAGCTCAGTAATGAACTTGGCACGAGACACCAAAATATGTCTGATGAGTCACAACTTCAGAAAAATGTCAACTGATACAATTAATAAATTACGTAAGTAACAAAAGTCCTGTGTTCAATACGGGTTTTTTTTTAATTCGTGACATTTCTAAACAGGACAGCGACCAAGATTTCACCTTTAGCAAGAGAAACCGGATTACAGAGGCGAACGGTACCGGACAGAACCGGGTGCGCTCCCAACACCCAGGAGCGCGCAGCCGCACCGGCGCCGCGCCGCTTCCCCCCGCCCGAGGCAGGCTGGCGGGCCCCCGGCCCCCCCCCCCCTCCCTTCGCCT